TATAAAATCACTTCTTCGGGCCAATCATGTCCAATGTCTTCATCTGCAAAATGAAGAAAGATTTGCATACGATCCAAATGTAAGTATACAATGAAACTGGATATGTTTCATGGTGCTAAAATAAAGGATGATAAACAAGGATTTTATGTTACAACCCTAATGTTTATAATCTTCTGACCATACCTGTCAAATCCCCCAACGCAGCTCCTATAGACTTTCGTGTCTTTAGTCTTTTTGAATGTGCACCTGGAAGTCGTAGATCTAATATATACATATATGAACAGTTATACAAGAGTATGGGGACAATATTGACATACTCTTTCTCTGGAGAAGCCAGATTTTATAGAAAAATTACTGCAAGATGCTTGTTAAAGGAGCAGATGATCGTCAGGGCAACAATATGTAAAGATAATAATAGTGTGAATTATGTTCCTTGTTCTATATAAGCTTGAGTCAAAGGTCACTTGAAGAAGCTTTCAATTGAATATGCCTAGATTAGTGGTTATCTGTATCTATACACACACATATATATATATATGTGTATAGAAACCTAATGACACAAAAAGATTTATAATTTTGAAGAAAAAACTTTTTGTATTCTAAACTTTTGTAAAATATAGCTCAACAAAATATACATTAAAAACAAAAACCTGTATTTTAATGTCGGTGAAGAATAGGGAATTAAAACAAATGTCATGCACGTGAACTCATGATTTCATTTCCTCTGAATATGAGAAATACATTTTCATGGTTTCTATTTGAAATGCCCCCGGTGGCTCAGCGGTAACTCTGAGGGCTTATAATGATAAAAATCGGGTTTCGATACCTCGGTTGGCAGAACACAGATAACCCACTGTAGCTTTGTGCTTAACTACAAAACAAACAAGTATTACGAACACCATTTCATGTCCTGTATTTAACCATCACTTCCAGGTATTGTTGCGGCAAACAAGGTAGTAAAAAACACAACAGCAAAAAGTTGCCCGAGTTTAGACAAAATTATGATGACATTCCACGTCACGTTACACTAGTGAAGAAGTAGCACGCGCACACATATATACTTTCATAATAAATTCTGTTCCCTCTCTTGCTTTCTCTCTTTTATAAGTGTGCACGTGTATTCCTATATATATATATATATGTCAATGAAGTAAATTATCCACTCTCTTTTACCTTTCGTAGGTTGTACGTAGCCAACACACTACGTATGAATGAGCCGTGTTACTAACTGGTATTTTCCTTGTACGGTGTCTCCATGGACAAACAAAAATCAAACAGACAGTTTTAAGTTGTCTAATCCATTACATTTGGTTAAAACAAGTATGATTTATCTGCAAAATATTCTGTCAAAAGAAAAAGTCAGTAGTAGTAATAGAGTTGTGGATGATAAAGTATCATAACTTTAACAATAGAACTTGTAAAATTTTATCATGTATTACGTCTATTTAATGAGGTAAAATACATTCTGTCAAAACCTTTTTTTTTTGCATATTTGTAATTGTATTGGCTTGTAAGACTACTTTCTTTGCTGGTATTGTTCTTTATGATTTTTTAATCCACCGGTATATACAAATAGCAAGTTTTTCTTACTGTTAAACCTTTTAACTAATCATTATATTCGGAAAACTCCTTTAACGTGTGTCATTTTGTTAAACACTGCTTTTAGGTTTTAGCGAGGTATTTTGAAATCAGACTGGCTTTTTTTTTGTGTTAAAAATCTTCTCGTAAAGTTACACAAAGTGCCATTTCTGCAAAACTCTCCTAATTCTCCATTAATAGACGAAAAAGAGGACACACCGTCAATCCTTGAGTTACTTTAAGCCAAAAGTGCAAATCACGTTTTTGTGGCAATGGGACGCGAACCATCAATCCATTGATTTACTGTCCGGGCACGCTAGTTCACGGGAGATAGGTATGCTTAGACTTTTTTTACAATATATTTTGAAGTGAGACCAATTATTAGTATTGGTATTCAAATGATGTATTGTTAGTTTAAGTAAAAATTTTGAAATGTATATAGAATTCTTGAACTTGTCAAAATTTCACATAGCATTTCTCATCGTTTGAAACCTGATACGACCTTGAACTGTTTATTATATTCAGTAAGCTCTGAGATCAATTGGTGTATACCACATTCAGCCAATACTGAATTATGAATTAGATTTGCTGATGTAGTTTTTCTGTTTAGTTCTGTGACATATTTCGTAACTTAATTAAAAAAATGTTGCGACGGATTTATTATTATACATTTATTCTATTCTCTAAAGTTGTAGAAGATTCTAGACTGTAAGAAACAATGATATATGTGTATACGTGAACGCTAGTGTTAGCGTCGGCATTGTTACGTAAAACTGAAATTTCGAGAAACTCTCCACACGGCTATAAATATAACCAACCCGATGCACCAAAAAGTTTCTGTTATTGGGTTGCTGTAATTGGTGTGCTATTCGTAAGCTATAACTGTGATTAACGCTTATTAATCGGGAACTTTAGATATATTGACCAGGAACGTATATAAATTTCGAACAT